CGCCGGCGCCCCCCCCCCCCCCCCCCCAGCAAGAGCAGACAGGGGAATAAGGCAGTCTGGGATGCCCCTGCCCTGTCTGGAGGTGCTTGCCTCATCCAACACGTCCTTCTTCATGAGAAAGGGCAGGTGGTGGGTGACGGTCAGCAGGATCTTCTCTGCTTGCTCCTGGGTCAGGTGGGGCAGCAGCCGGGCCGTGAGCTTCTTGCCCTTCCGCACACACAGGAGTTGCAGGAATTCATCCTCTGCCTCCCTGGGGATGAAGGCTCCATTGGCACAGATCCCAAGGGACCTGTAGCATCTCTGCCCATCCAGAAGGACCAGCATCAGCTCCAGTGGAGGCCAAAGCTCATGGGCAGGGTCAGCACAGGCCACGGTGACACACAGAGGACAGGATCCAACCCTCCCCATGACCATCTGAGCCCCACGAGGACCAGGACACACTGCCTGCTCACCTCTCCCCACAGCACAAACTCACTCTGCACTGCTGCAAGCCCCGATTTTCAAGGCTTGGTAGAGACGCTCCACTTCTTGGCTCTTCTGCTCCTGACAGCAGGGCTGCTGCTCCTCTGGGGCCAGGGATGTCTTCCGCTGCAAGTCCTCCACTTCCAGCAGCTGCAGGAAGAGCTGGAGAAAGGCAAAGGGGCAGCTTGGACCATCTTCTACCGACTGGTTATTCAGGACCCCTGCCCAGGTTGATGTCCCCTCACAGAGCTCCTTAGATGAAAACTGAGCGTCTGCACCATCCCACCCTGCCCCAAATCGCGGCTCGCTCACCTTCTCGATCCTGTGCAGTGCCCGAAGCCGATGGCTCCCTGCAGCCTTCAGGAGGGGAGAAAGGAAGGCACAACAGTTACAGCCAGCACCAGACACTGCTGCCGGCAGGGCGCTGGGCCAGCTGCTCCCTGGGGATCAGAGGTGGCTTCAGGATACAGAGCAATCCCACGGAAAGGCCACAGCCAGCTCTGACTGCCCAGAGCCCCATCCCGCCCCTTGGCAGGGGAGAAGCTCCCAGTAAGCTCACCACCAAGGTGGCACCTGCTCAAACCATGTGCCCCATCCCACAGCTCTGGGCAGCACACGTGCTCGGTCACAGCAGCTCCTAAAGCTCCTGCTAAAGCTGCTCCAGTGCCTGGGGAAAGCTCAGAGCGGGATTTCCAGGCATCCGCGGCACCAACAAGCCCGGCTTCCCCTCACCTACCTCATCCACAAGGGCATGGTGCACAGCATCGATGGCCCGGCGAGGGCTGTAGCAGGTGGACACTGCAACCTGGCCCAGCGAGCCCGCAATGCGCACCACTGGAAGAGAGATGGGATACGGTGAGACCACATCCCAGTCCCTCACCCAGCCCCCCACTGCCCACCCCAGCCCCTCACCAGAGTCATATGTCTCCACTTTCTGGATGAACGGCGTGACCAGCTTGGGGGGCTCCTGCTTGTTGCGCCCGCGGAACAGCTCCTCTGCCTGTTTGCGCTCCAGCCGGTGGTAGTACATCTGTAATGACAGGCATAGCCAGGTGGGCAGGCATCACGAGCCCTGGCACCCTCCAGCTACCAAAAAGATGAAGTCCCAACCCTGAGGAGCAGAATAAGCTACTGGTGCTGCCAGCAGGAGCTCACCTGGTAGTAGTAGTCATCATCCATGTTCTCACTCTGCAGCTGGATCATCTCCACCTTGACGACCCAGTCCTTCTCCTTGGAGGTCATCAGTCCAGCATAAGGGTCCACTTTAGGAGACCACAGCTTCTTGGGGGAGATGCTGGCACAGGAGAAGGTGCAGCCTGCTGTAATTGCCCAGAGCCCCCCACACACCCTGCAGCTCCCCGGGGACCCCCTTACCTCCGTGCCTGCCCGCGTTGCTGCTGCCGCTTGGTCAGGATCCGCTGGTGCTGGGGGTGAAGCTGGGTCATATGGCTGGGCACACTGCAAAGGAGACCAGATGGGGGTCAGGGGGCTCAGCACCACGCACTAGAGACATCCCCAGAGGGGGGACACCCCCCAGCTGCTTTGTAGGGCTCCTCCAATCCTACCCAGGCATCCTGCTACCTGAGGTTCAGCTGGCCACTGGCTGATGGACTGAAGAAGAGAGCGGGCTCCAAAGAGGGAGACATGGGACCGAAGTGCATAGCAAGAGGCTGTGGAGAGCTGCTGATGTTGGGTGACATGGGCCGGAAAGGGGTTGGAGACACATACCTTGTACCCTGGAGAGGGAGAGAGAAGTGATCAAGCATCTGAGCCTTCCCTTCCGAGGGTCCTGGAGGGGTCTGTCAGCTCCGTGCTGGCTTCTGGCTCCCATCTGTGCAGGGGCCACCCTCTCCCTACATGGAGGGGACACATGGGGCACCACAGCAAGGTGATACTCCCCAGGATCCTGCCACTACAGCTGAGCAAGGCAAGGGGACCCAGGTGTCACCAGGGATGGCATACCCCAGGTCCACCATCACTGCTGCAGCATGACACCAAGCAGAACACCATTCCCGGTGCAGGTCCCATGGAGACATCAGGACAAATAGATTTATGAAGCAATGGCTACACCGGTGGCTCCACTTTCCCCATGGGCAAGACGCCAGAGATGGGTGCTGAAGATTAGATGGAGCTGCAAAGTCTGCCCCAGACAGCCTTTGGGGAGGCAACATCTCCATCTACTGCCACTCCAGGGCCACCTCAGAGGGGACATGGCCGTGGATCACAGCCCACCGCGTTACCTGGTTAGAAGTGAAGAGTGGAGAGGGTCTGCGAGCTGGCATGTAGGGCCGAGAGGAACACAGGGAGCGAGTCATCAGAGGCGACTGCTGCAGGGCAGGAGGTGTCACTGGGACAAGCCTGTCCTCAAGGCTGCACCTCTGTGGAGGGGAGGGCAGAGAAAGAGGGGATGCAAGAGCCCCCTGAAACCCATTACCTGCTGGAGAAAGCGCTGGGGGAAGGACTTGGGGGACATCAGTCTTAAGTTGGGGTGCTTGAGCCGGGAAGAGCCTCCATAGCCCCTCTGCACTGGGGAGCCGATGAAGTCAAGGGCCATGTTGGTGGATGGTGGGGGCCTCTCCAGGACCTGGAGGATGGCTTTATCCTGCAGGAAGGAGGCAGCAGGAGATGGGAACGGGGCCCAGCTGGGATCAATTTAGCTCCCCCAGCATCAGGCAGCTCACCAAAACTTTTGGTCATTGCTTAACCAGACCATGCACCAGCCAGGCTCCCACCCTGGCAGCATGCAACAGCAAGGGACCCACAGGGACACCCGGCATGGGGGTCCCAGTCCCCCCAAACTCAACAACTTTGCCTTCAAAATCAGGCTCTGCTTAGGGCAGGCACCTCCACCCACAGCCTTGGCACGTAAGAGACACATCCGTGCGCACCCAGACCCGTGACAAAGTCCCCTGGTCACCCCAAATCACCTGCATGACCCTCAGCCCAGGGTGCTGGGGAGCCCTCAGCCGCTCCCCGTGGGCCTGGCGGGGGGTACCCACCTCCAGAACATGGTGGGGTGGGATGCTGCTGGGGCAGGAGCCCCACACCACGGGATCCATTGCCAGCTGGAAGACAGGGAGATAGATCAGCACAGGGAAGGAAGACAGGAGAAGAGGCACAGGGGCCACTCAGCCTCATCACCGGATGGGAGGGGACATTTTTACCACATCCTCTTTGCCAAACTCTGCCCAGCAAGCACCAATCCTACTGTCCAGCACTGCCGAGTCTTGGCTCTGCAAGCAAAGAAGTTACAGGCGCTTACTCAGCCCTGGCACAGCAGGTCTTCCTCCCTTGGGCAGGGACGAAACTACCCCCCAGTGCCCTCCATAGGGCAGGACCCACAGGTGTGGGGATGGAGGGGGGAGCAGTGGGTCCCCACCAGCCCCTCTGCCTGCCTGCCAGGCATGGGTCCCCTCCCTCTCCGCTCACACGTCACCTCCAGTGTGGGTTTGGTCTGCACAGCTCTCATCACTGCCGGGTCCCCCAGGTCATTGGGCTCCTCGCAGGGCTCCTGGTCTTCCTCCTGTTCCTCAGTCCCTAGCTCCTCCTCCTCCAACTCGGAGCCACCCTGCTCGACGTCCAGCTCCATCCCACCTTCCTCCTGGGGTTCTCCCAGCTCCTCTGGCTGCTCATTTGCTGTGGGCCCTTGTTCCTCCCCAGCCTCGGTCTTCTCTACCACCGCTTCAGCCAGCTCAGGGTTCATCTCCAGAGGCATCAGGAGTTTTGTGGTGTCCTCCTCAGTGGAGTCTCGGTCTTGGAGGAGGGAAGCAGAGCACGTTGGGGTGGGTGAAAACCTGGGCAGTGCTCACTGGGGTCCCTACTCTCAATCCAGCTCCTCACCAGGCAGGAGAACACCTTCCTCACCACCACCCCCCCCATCATCCTCACTCCATTGGGTGCTGGCTGATCTCCCCAACACTGGGCCTCCCCTGAGATCTTACCTAACCCAAAAGTCATCTCGTTGTACAGGTCGAACTCTTCATCCTCCTCGGCCATCTCCTCCAGCAGAGGCGCATCTTCCAGCAGCAGGTAGTCCTCAAGGATCTGGAGTCGAAAGCACCAGGGTGCCCACTAAGGGAGAGGTAACCCTAACATGCTCCCAAAGTGGGGGACACCCAACCTCACCCCCCACCCCCCCCGCACTGGTGGTGCCAGGCAGCCCCCAGTGCTCACAGCTGCTCTGCAGGTGGAAAGGGAAGAGCAGGAGCCACCAGCACCGCCAGCGAGGGCAGGATCTACTGGCTCAGTGTGGGGCAGGAGCCCACTGAAGCCTGCCTAGACCAGGGCTGTGGCCGCCCGGAGGTGACCCCTGCCAGTACAGGGGATGCCAGTACAGAACAGCACCAGCGTGGCTGGCACAGAGGGACACCATTAGGCTTCAGAGTGAACACCCCACTAGCTGGGCACGGACAGCACCCGAGCACAAAGGCAGGGAAGGGCACCCCACCAGCACCTCCAGGGCAGCGTCTTCTCCGGTACCGACCGCTCCGAGGAGAGCCAGCACCGGGAGAGGCAGCCCCGGAGCAACCGGCACCGAGGAGGGGGTGGGGGGGGACGTGACCCAGGGAAGCGGGAGGGGAGGTGGCCCGCGGAACGGAGCAGCGTGCCAGGGCGGAGCAGGGCGGGCACTCACAAACAGCTCGCCGCCCTCCGCCATGCCGCGACGTCTCCCTCCCTCCCACCCGCCCGTGTCCCTCTACGGGGCCAGGCTGCCGCCACCGCCGCCTTTTACGGACCGCCGCCGCTTCGGCGGCAGCGCGCCGCCCCGCAGGCGCTTTCCGTACAGCATGGCGGCGCCCACTGCGCCCCGCCCCTGCGCTGTAGCGTAACCACGCCCCCATCCGTTAGGCCCCGCCCCCAGTTAGGCCCCGCCCAGGCGGCCGAGACCGCTGGCGGTGCGTGGAGCAGGGATGGGGATGGAGCTGGGGGGGGTGGGGTGAGGTTTAATGACCCCACCCGCGAAAAAGGGTGTAAAACTGCAAACACCTGTGTCTCTCAGGACACAGAAAACCCCAGCCCGGGTTTTTCTACTGCTCTTGTCACTCCCTGCCAGCGAGGGCCTTTTCTGAACCGATGCCCCTGTGAGCAGTCACGGAAAACCAGCGGGACATGGTCGGTCCAGCTGGAAGTGCCTCGGAGGTTTACAGCAGTGGATTTGAAAGCACAGGGGACCAAAGCTAAGGCAAAGATGCTGTAAATCTCTGTGTCCCGCCAAGCACAATGTGCTGCCCTCGTCCCCCCGAATGCCAGGAGCACCTCAGTTGTGTCAGACCTCACCCACTCCTTAAATATTTTTCTCCGTTAATAAAAGCAGAAGCACCCTGAAAAAGGAAGATTTGGCCTTTTAGAAACATCATGTGGAAGAAACTTGTGCTTCAGCTTGCGTTTACAGGGAAAGTCTGCTAGGCACAGTCATCTCCAGGGATTCTTGTCCTAACAGGGAGAGCCCGGGCGTCAGTGCGGAGAAAGGATCTGTGTCCCACAATCAGCTATTTGTGTAATTAATCCTCCCTGGGCCAAGGGGATCGCTCCCCCGGGCAGAGCCAGACAAGCCTCTGGGTCAGGCTCCAAGGCAGCGACTCCCAATACCAGCTCAGCTGCTGACGCAGCAGTTATGACTTATTTCTGTGAGAGCCCTGAGATCCCTGATAAGTCTTCAGCAGCAGCTGCGTCCCCTTATCTCACAGCAAAAACACTCAACGGCAGCTGCGTAGCTGCTGGCACCGCTCACTGGACAGCCAGCAAACCAAGCAAGAGCTCATCCCGGAGCTGCTCTGGTGAGGATTAATGAGTATTTGCAGGTTTTTTCTTTGCTCAGTCTCTACTGATTTACCTGCTGCCTTTGGGTAGGGGATGTTCTCTGTATGTGCTTTATTGATTTAAGTTAGGTTTTTAAATGGGATGCATTAAGAAGGCAAGTCTTAAAGGAGCCCAGTGTTAGAGGAGCTCTGTGATACTGCTGCTTTCTCCCTACTAGCAGTAACTTCACTTTCTTTTCTTTTTAACTTTTTAATCCTTATGAAGCTGGATGGAAGACAATATACATGTATCTGCTTTCCAGTCTGAAGCAGTGACTCTTTGTAAGGATAACCAGTACATGACCTGTAGGACCAGAAGCAGACAAGCTCCTAGGGTATAAAACATCTACGTGCCCTTTAATACTGATTCATTTTCTTTTTTTTTTAACCTTGGTTTTCTTAATGCTGCTGTTCAAGGCTGCTGTACTTCTCCCCTCCAAGCAGTACCACAGGGAGGCATACCCAGCCTAGCTGTGCTGCAGCGCTCACAGTTTTTGTGAAGGAGGCACCAGGACACCTGGTTCTTTGACCTTGGATTCTTGTGTTTGATATCAGGGAGTCCATGCTGTGCTCGAACGACAGAGTCAATCCATCATCCTGCAGCCACCGGACCAAGACGCTCCCGCCTAAGCTCAGAAGTGGCAAACTGAATCTCAGAAAGGAAGGTGGCCAAGTTGCGCCAGTGTAGGCTGTTGCTGTTGGCGTAATACTGCCCCTCGCTGCAAAACCTTCCGCGAGGGATGGTTTTTACTCCCCTTTTGGCGAGGGGCAGGAGCCGGGCGAGCACCTCGTAGCTGCTGTGCCATGCCCTGCTCCCAGCTGGGGTTCCTGACCGCAGGTGTCCAGCTCAAGGCCCGGGGGAGAGGCCACCCAGCCTCGACTTGGGGCCCGGTCCCGCCTCACGCCTCCGATGCCTCCATCCCCGAGGGGAAGGCCGAGGCACGGGGAATGCCCCGGGGTGGGAAAGGCCCCAGCACAGGGCTGGCCGGGGCCTGGGGCAGAGCGGCGGCCGCCGAGTCCCGGTCTGTACCTCAGGCCCAGAAGCGAAAGCGAAAGCGACGCTGCCCGTAGTGCGCAGGCGCAACGGGCTAGCTCGCATAACCTTACTTCTTCCCCTCAGCTTGGAGACTGATGACGCGCCGGCAGTTCCGCACCGCGATTGGGCGCGCTCAACCGGGGCTATAAAAAGCAGCGGGCGAGGGGCCCGTACCACTCTGTGAGTGAAGCGGAGCGCTCGGCTGCCATGGGGCTGGCGCTGAGGCTGGGGGTCCTGGTGCTGATCACGCTGGTCGGCCTGGGGCAGGCGGACGGTGAGTGCCCGGAGCGGCGCGAAGGGCACCGCTGGGGGTGAGGGGGGCGGGAGGGGCTGTGAGGAGCCTGGTACCGGGGCG